ACAGGAGGGGAAGGAGAGAGAGGCAGAGGGCAGAGGCAGGGATGGGCTGTGCTTCCCAAGAGCCCAGGCTGGCCCCATCCTTCTGCAGGGGCTGCTGGGCTTGCTCAGCCCCTCAGGAAGCAACAAGCCGGTGCTGGGTCCCCAGGGCGGTTCCATCCTGGGAGTCCCTGGCTTCCTTCCCCAGGGCCGTCACCAGCAGCTTCAGCAGGGGAAGCACCTCGTGCCACAGAGGCCACTGCCCAAGCCCGAGAGGCCAAAGCCCCCAGAGCTGATGGGCACTCCCTGAGAGCTGAGGATGCTGCCAACAGCAGCTGAGGTGGAGGATCCCACGGCGGTGTTCTGTGGGAAGGAGCTGAGGATGGGGCCAGGCAGGGTCACCACCACGGGCGAGGGTTCGATGATGACGGTGGAGTCCTGGCACTGCCTGACACAGGGCTCGTTGCAGCTGCTGCCCAGCGGGGTGGGGCCGCAGGGCTGGCAGGGCTGGCACGGGGTGTAGCAGGACATGTCTTGGGGCTGTAGATGCACCTGTGGGGCAGAGAAGGGGGAAGCAGAGCACATGGAGTGGGTGAGGATCAGCCTGTCACCCCACCATGAAGATGACCCTGTCTCTCTCTGTGCCATAAGCTCCCCAAATCATGAAAAAGTCCACAGAGATCCCCACCTCACCAAGAGCTCAGGAGACACCTGAGCCAAGCCCCAGTGTCTGTGTCTGCCACAGACTTCTGCTTGCTTCCCCCACCCATGGCAAGGAGCTCCCGTGCCCAGCTGAAGACAAGTAACACGCTTAGAAATGCATTTAGAGGAGGACAAGGTGGAGGAGAAATGCTCCAAACTCACCTTATTCCCAAGGAGCTGAAGACAGGAAGAGTGGATGAGAGAGTGAGGAGAAGGAGCCACTTTTATAGTGCTCCTGCACTGCCCCAGGCCCACAGTAACTGCACAGGGCAACAATTTTCCTACAGACTCCTCTCCAGAGCAAAACATCCTCCTAATGCCTCAGGCTCTCTTTTGGTTTCCATCAACACTGTCATTTAATTTCCTTGTTTCTGACATGCCCACTAGGTCATGAAGATCCCTTTCATGTTAGGGGATGAGAAGCCAAATGACTTTTCTTGCAGGAACACGTGAGTAATGGTTGGCCTCAATGATCTTGGAGGTCTTTGCCAGTCCTTGTGATTGTGTGATTCAATAATTCTCTGATCATTGGCAGGAATCAAGTGTCAAACAGAGCCCTGTGCCATTGGGTTCCTCCTCAATATCTGGGGGAGGTGTTGGGTGTCTGGATCATTCCTTGTTCCTCCCTCTCTCTGCACCCACGATGCCCTTTGGCTGCACAATGTGGAGCCTGACCTGGATGACACACAAGCACAGGCCACTTTTCCAATACATGCTGTCAGTGCTGAGAACACAAATGTGACACGTGAGGGAGCTGCCAAGCATCCCTTTTTCCCAGGGCCAGGATGGAGCTGCCCTTGCTGGAGGGGAATTCAGCCCTGCCTTAGACTGGCCTGCAGACACCACACACCCCTGGCTTGGCCTCACACCAAAAGGCTGACACAAGGCCAACCCAAAATTGGAGCGTGACTTGCCACTGGTAAGGAGAGTCTCTCCCTGGAAATTTGCCTACTGAAGACATTACCTTGCCCTCCTGGGACGCGTCCCAGCTGCCTCCATGTCTGCGGGGCAGGGAAGTGCATCAGTCCTTGGTGTATTTTGAGAGCAGGTTTTGTACCCAGGGCTTTTCTGAGTGCATTCACTCCCTGAGCCTCCCCAGGCGTGTGGCACTGCAGCTTCCCCAGTGCTCTCACATGTTGGGGAAATGGAGAAGGTTTCCTTCCCACTCCAGTGGTGCTGGGCTGCTCTTTAGACTGAGGAGGCATTTGGAGCATTGGAAAGGACTTAAATCCCAATGCCCTGCAGAAGCCAGAGAGCTTTGGACCCCAGGATGTGTCCAAAGCAGTGGGGTGGTGTTTTCTGAAACCCCTTCTTTCAGCTCCTGACAATCCAGGAGAGCTCTCCTCCCCAGCCACGTGTCTTTGACCAGGAAGATGACTCCTTGTGTCCATTCTGTCCCTCCATCAGCATCTCCTCCTCTTTTCCTGTCTTTTGTCTTGACTTTTCATGTTTCTTGGAACCACAAGATGCCCCCAAGAAGCTGCCAGCTCTTCTGATCTCTTTTGCTCTTCACAGGAGCCTGTGCAGGCACATCTGACCTGCCAGATGCCCGAAAAAGTGGAAGAGTTGGTGTGTTTGAAGTCCAGGGTCTGTACATTGCTACTCGTATCCTCCTTGACCATCACTTTCTCTCTGCCCACAGCTACATTTCCTGACTGCTGGCACCTGCCCAAGGGAGCTCAGAGATGCTTTCTTTGACACCAAAACTCATGTGCCCATCACCAGGTCCCACACTTATATTGATCCAGTCTGTTTAAATGTTCCTACAGCTGATCCTCCTCCTCTGCTCTGGGGAGGACACCTACTCCAGATTCCCCTATTCCCAACTTTCTGAGGAATATCAGGAACCTCATCCTGTGACAGGAAAGGTTGCCAGTGAAGACCAAGGCCCAGAAGCCTTGGAGAACCTTCCCCTTTCCTGTACCCCTGCCCCAGTGAAGCTGCTCCAGTCAGCCTTGGCTCAAGCCTCCCTTTTGCTGTTGCCCTGTGTGGAAGATCTTTTTGTTTCCCACCACAAACTCTCCTGATTCAGCTCCAGGTGGGCTTTGGCTTTCCAACCCCAACCCTGGAATACTCAGAAGACCTGGCAAATGATCTGCATCAGCAAAGGGCATCAAGGGGAAGGGAGAGGAAAGCATTTCCCTGGAGAAGCAGTGTCCAGTGGACATTGGAGTGAGGTGAGAGGGAGGAGAGAGCAGCAGGCAGGATGTGCTGCGAGGAGAGGAGCCTTTCTGTGCTCTGCTGCTCTGTGCGGGGCAGGGCAGAGCTGGGGCTGTCCCTGCAGAGGCAGCTGCCAACAATGGCAAGGCACTGCCCCGAGCCAACATCCCCTGCCTGCACGGGACCCTGCGGCATGGGGGCACATCCTGTGCTGCACGGACACGCTCCCATCCCGGGTGTCCTCAGGCCTCGCACGGCACACGTGAAAGGAGCTGCAACACAGACCAAGCACGTCAGAAATGAGGAAATGAAACGGCAGCGTCGATGGGAATCAAACCACAACGTGTGGCGTTAGGGAGGAGATTTTGCTTTGGAGGTGAATGTGTTAGAAAATTACTGCCCTTGTGCAGTGCCTGTGGGCCTGGGGCAGTGCAGGAGCAGTATAAAAGGGGGCCCTTCTCCTGGCTCTCTCATTCACTCCTCTCACCTCCATCTCCTTGGGATCAAGGTGAGTCTCAAGCCCTTTCTTTTCTTCCTCCTTTGGCCTTTTTGATCACCTTCTCTGCTTTTAATCCCATCTGGGTTCCTGACAACAGCTTGTTATGGGGGAGAGAAGGGGCAGAAGCTGTGCATGGAGAGAGGCTGGGTTTTGTCTGAGATGTCTCCAGACTTCTGGCTGAGGGGTGGAAGTCCCTGGGCTCGGTCACTCTTCAGGAGATTCTTGGGGGCTTGAGCAAACAGTGAGGCTGCTGGGCCTCTCTAAGCAGCCTCCAGCTATCTTCTCCTTCTCTGCTTTTCTCCATCACGGTGGCCCAACACACTGCTGTGACATAGCCCTTTCTGAACTCTGCTTGCTCCTGTCCTCTCTGCCCCACAGGTGCATCTGCAGCCCCAAGACATGTCCTGCTACACCCCATGCCAGCCCTGCCAGCCCTGCGGCCCCACCCCACTGGCCAACAGCTGCAACGAGCCCTGTGTCAGGCAGTGCCAGGACTCCACCGTCATCATCGAACCCTCGCCCGTGGTGGTGACCCTGCCCGGCCCCATCCTCAGCTCCTTCCCACAGAACACCGCCGTGGGATCCTCCACCTCAGCTGCTGTTGGCAGCATCCTCAGCTCTCAGGGAGTGCCCATCAGCTCTGGGGGCTTTGGCCTCTCGGGCTTGGGCAGTGGCCTCTGTGGCACGAGGTGCTTCCCCTGCTGAAGCTGCTGGTGACGGCCCTGGGGAAGGAAGCCAGGGACTCCCAGGATGGAACCGCCCTGGGGACCCAGCACCGGCTTGTTGCTTCCTGAGGGGCTGAGCAAGCCCAGCAGCCCCTGCAGAAGGACAGGGCCAGCCTGGGCTCTTGGGAAGCACAGCCCATCCCTGCCTCTGCCCTCTGCCTCTCTCTCCTTCCCCTCCTGTGTCCCTGCTCCCCTGTGCTCCCCTGGGCTGTGGGCACCACACAGCCATCCTGGGGAGGACCTGCTGGCCCTCCTCCCTCTCTGGATCAGGCCGATGGACACCTGCTGGGATCTCTGCCACAGCCATGGGACACAAATTCTCATCTGGCCCTGGTGCTTCCTACACTGGATTCCTCTTTTGGATTGAGCTGTTTATCTCTTCTGTTGCATTAAATTTTTTTTGCATCCCAGCCCAGCCTGTGTGCCATTCTTTCCCCTACAGGGATGATTCCAAGATGTCCAAGCAGAGCAGTGTTGACCAGGGGTGGTTCTAGGAGGGTATTTCAGGGATGTTCGTGCTTTGGTTGTTCACACAATGATTGTTAACTCTCCATGCAGTGTCTCTGCCTCTGTGGTCACTCCAGGCACTCAGAGTCAGGAGGAAGGTTGTTTCTCTGGGAAGGTTAGCAGTACATGGGGCGTATGGAGAGCTTTCATTATTCCCAGTAGGAAGGATGGAACAGTGTACTTAGCCCTTCTTAACCTTTGCAAGTGAGTGTGATAAATGTGGCATCGGATAAAAATTCGTGAAGGAGAATAAAGAAATATATGTTATATTTATAATAATGTAAAGATATAAAATGTAGTATGATCTAAAGATTCCTTCCCGAGTCAGGCGGTAACGATCCACGGTGACGCCTATCAGCCCGAGATAAAGAGCAGGACACAGGCAATCAAGCCAGACAATGAGAGTAGCCGGCTGAGATATCCATCGGCTCCGCACCCAACCTGGACACTCCACCCCTGGAGTCCAACCAAAAGATGCAATCAGAAGACACTCAGAGCCATTCGCATGTGAAAGGACTGGGAAATCTATTCAACCGCACATCTAGACTCTTTGTTGGACTGTGCCCACTCCAGGTTTTGCCTCAGGATACGAAAATCCTTATAAAAAACCCGGACTGCAATCCCTCCTTCGTGGATTTGGGAAAATCTGTACCTCTGGGTGCAGACCCCTGTCCACCCGGCGCTGAGCTGATTTATTTATTGTAGTTTTTTCTCTCGTTGCTTATGATTGAAATTGTTTTATAATAAATTGCTTTTTATATTAACCTTATTTTGCTATTGCATTTATAACATGAGTAAAACACCACTGCAGGTCATGTGTGCAGGGAGACACAATCCTTTGGCAGATTTAGTCCATCTTAGGCTTCTGGAAACAGTCTTTTTCATATTTTTGCAGACAGGACTAGAAGAGGCAAGCTTCTCTGTGCTTGAAAATGTCTTTTGTTAGTACTTACACTCAAGAGAAGCCTACACTGTTCTGATGTACATTTATTATTCTATAAACACAATATCTCTTATACCTTAAGATGATTTTGCTCTTGCTGCTACCAGAGGGAACTGGTAAGCCTTCAGTCACCTGCTGGAAATATATTAGGCAAATTTCTGGCTACTGCCAGAAAAACCTCATCCTGTAACTCCTAACTAGAACAGTGGGAAACCTAGTGTACCTTCTGCCCCTAAAGGAAGTTAGGGGATTGAATGTCAGTGCCTTTTGCTGACATGTGTATGAGACTTCTCCTTTGAAGTCAGTTCCAAAAGAGGGTGCTTGCCCTGAGGAGAGGGGGGCTGTGAGTGTGGATTGTCCAGGGAGGAGAAGAAACAACTGGAGCACAAGTCTGATGAGAAGAAGCTGGAGGCACTCAGCCTGGAGAAAAGGAGGCTCGGGGGGACCTTCTCACTCTCCATGACTCCCTGACAGGAGGGTGGAGCCAGGTGGGGCTCAGGCTCTGCTCCAAGGGAACAAGGTACAAAGTGAGTGCAAATAACCTGAAGTTGTGCCCTGAGTGGTTTAGGTCGGCTATTCAGGAAAAATTATTCACTGAAAGGGTGGTAAGACATTGGGAACATGCTGCCCAGGGCAGTGCTGGAGCCATTATCCCTGGAAGTGTTCAAAGAACATGTAGATGTGGTACTTGGGACACAGATGGCTTTGGCACTGCTGGGGGGAATAGTTGGACCTGATGATCTCAGAGGGATTTTCCAACCTTGACGATACTGTGATTCTATGGAGCAGAGGCAGAATGATGGGCACAAGCCTTGGTTTCCCAAAGCAGAGTCTCAGGCATCAGATTTATAAAAGCAAATAACTTAATAGAGCAGTGCACAGCAGGTGAGCTCAAGCTGGTGCAAAGAAATCCCCAGGCAATGATATCCCTGTGACTTGGGCACCTGCCCCAACATGTGCTTGCACACACCTCTTGGCCCAAGTTTTGGTCTGGGGTCTTCTAACACCTTGCTGAGTTCTTTCTCCAAGTCAGGGAGACATTCTGAGCTTACAGAGTTGCAGCCTCTGCTGAGACTGCAGTTTCTGCTCTTGCTTCTGGTGCACCAGGGGACTAAAACAGCCCCAGACACAGGATAAACACCCAGGACTGAGCACCCAAACCATCAGTGTGTTATTGTTGCAAAATGTGAAGTATGTAAAATTCTCTTAAGAAATAATGTTCTATTAGTGATGAAGAGAGACAGGGACAACCAATTCGGTGATCAGAATCCAATTTTACTGTGGGCTACATAAGTTTATATACCGTTCTAGAAAAGCTAATAATTTTTTACTACAATGGTTGAGTTAAACATCATACAAACATACAGACATACATGTGTATTTCAACATTGATTCAATCTTCTCCCTGTCTCCAGGCTCTATTCAATCTTCTTGCAGTCTTCAAAGCTCTGTTTGTTCCTGCCAAGGCATCCTGGCTACCAGATCTCTTATGCTAATCAAGTCCAAAGTACTTTCCGATTTCACTGTAATGTTCTTTGATGTGTGATCTTTGTATAGTTTCAAGACTAATTGACAAGAAGAGAGATTTAATCTGTGAAATAGCAGCCAGTAAACTGTAAGTCACATCCAGTTAGAAAGACAACTTGTTCTTAGAATTGCCTTGGTAAGGTTTAGAGCTGGACATGTTTCAATGATCTCAGAGCTAGGAAGAGTTTAAATAATCTTGTGAAGGACAAACCACTGATAGTGGGCATAAGGAATGTAGAATTTACAGCCTTCAAGGACATCTGTCAGAAGTCCCAGGACAAGGAAGAAACTAACAAAGCCAACTGAGCAATTGTGCTGAAATCAGCTCCAATTGGGTAAAAGATAATTCTGGCAGGGGCAAATCGCGGCCACCAACACACAGACCACTGACCCAAGAAACCCCCTGACCTGAGAAGAAAATAAAGACTGAGCATGTGGACTAATTAGCATGAGAAATGAGAGAATCATTAACCAATAGAAGATAGAATACTAATTAATAAAAGAGCTATGTTACATGCAGCCAATGAACACTAATTCCTTTGTTTGCTAAAATGCATAAACAGTAAAAAGTTTTAATATTTGGCGTGTTTGATTTGTGGGATTCCACCAAGTATCCAGGCTTGTGCAACTCTGACATAAATAATCAATATTTCCCTCAAGTGTGTAACTGTTGGCTTGTTACACACCAAGTAAAGAATGCAATTTTTGTGGGCAACATTATCAGTGTTCTTTCCAAACTAAAGTCAAAGCACATCACTGTGCCAGCTACTGTGAAATTATTGAGGGAATCACCTCCATTCCAGCCAAAATAAATTGTCTTATGAGGAAGGGCTGAGGAAGAAGGGTTTGTATAGCAAGGAGAGGAAGCTCAGGGGGCACTTGGTCACTGTCTACATCTCCCCGAAAGGTTGGAGTGAGGTGGGGCCGGTCTCTGGTGCTGTGACTGCAGAGAGCAGACCGGGGGAATGGCCTTGGGCTGAGACAGGAGATTCAGGTTAGATCAGGGTGCTCAGGCCTTGGAAGGGGCTGCCCAGGGAGGTGCTGGAACCAACAAACCTGGGGTGCTCAGGATCTGGTGTGGGTGATGAGGTTTAGGGCTCACAGTGGGAGGCCACTTGGGACTGGCTGACCTCGATGATATCAAAGGTCTCTTCCAAGCTCGACAATTCTGATTCACTGTCCGGGGTCAGTTCATAACCAGCGCCTAAGGCTGCAGCAGTCCCAGCCAAAAACATCAGAACAAGTCTAAGGCGAGCACATTCTGTCTAAATGGGTTTATTCCGGCTGAACATTCCCCAGCCCCTCAGAGCGGTTTCAGGGTCCCGGGCAGGGTCCCCGCCCCCGATGGCGCCGCGCGCGCGGCGTTGCCGCGGCAACCACGGCTGGGCGGGAAGGACGGGGCCGGGCCGGCCCCACACCGGCCCCGAGGCGGAGCGGACTCGGACCCCGCAGCCACCTCCCGCAGCCGGCCCCGGAGCAACGGCGGACTCGGATCCACAGCCGACCCCACAGCCAGCCCCACACCGGCCTCGGTCCCGGCCCCACACCCTGCTGCACAGCGGACCCGGCCCCACATCCTGCTCCACAGCGGACCCGGCCCCAGAGCGGATCCCGTCCGGCCCCGCCATGGAGCTTGAGGAGGAGGAATTGGGTGAGGCTTGAGGCTTGGTTGGGAAGGGACGGGGAAAGCGCTCGGCGGCTGTGAGGAGGGTCGGGACTACCCTTGCGGTACCCACTGGGGTCTGTCTCCTCTCGGGCCGGGTTTGTCGCTCCCCTCGGGCCGGGTTTGTCGCTCCCCTCGGGCCGGGCCTGTCCCCGTGCCCAGTGCCCGAGCCGGGCGGGCCCCCGCGGGCCCTCTCTCGGTGCTTCCAGCCCGGGTCGCCACACCAGGTGCAGTTGGTGCGGATGATGTTCGGCCTGCAGGATTTGACTGAATAAATTTACTTTGTTTGTTTCGAGCGTGGCTTCTACCCGTGTATCCCGACTCAGCCGCTACAGGCGGTTTTGGGATCCGTTTCCATGCAGTGTGGACAGGGACAGGTACTTGGATCTCCCTGCATGTGGCATTGTTGTGGTGCCTTTGGTGGTTTCAACCGTGTATAAATTACAGCTCGCTCCTGTGCTGCTGGTGTTGGTGCTGGACGTGCGGTGCTGAGGGCTCTGCTCTTCCCCTACTGCTGGTCTCTGTCCCTTTTCCCTTCACTAGCAACGCACTTGGTCTTGTGTGGAGACAGTTCAAAGAGAGAAGCTATTGGAAAAATCTCTAACAAATAGTGTTTAGTCTTGTGAATTCCTTAAACAGGCAGTGCGTAATCTTGTATTTACATATATCAGTGATAAATGTGCACAAGTGGGTATCTTAGCGGTGAGAATAAGGACTCTTTGCCTGATAATGGGTATATCTTTGCTAGACCCCATAGTTGGAATGCATTCAAGGACAATAAACCCTCCTCAGAAGGGAGGAGAGGTTGTTTGGAGCAGCAACCCCACGCAGCCAGTGCCAAGAGTAATGCTGCTTTCTAATACTGAAATTACAGTGTTAGGGTGTTTTATTTTTACGTTTTCGGTGACAAAACCACTTGTGATTGCTCCTCCAGGGGCAGCTGGTCCAGTGCAAAGCCAGATGGGTTTTCAGCTGCCCTAATGCCCCGAGTGGGCTGTTGAGCTAAGAGGTGTTCAGCAGCAGCAGCACTGCACAGCCCAGGTGGAAATGAGGATCCTGTCTGTCCCTTCTCTTTCCAAGTGGCTCTCGGCATGAATTAGGCTCGTTGGGACTTCTGGAACAGCGTTGTAACAACTGCCAGCCCGGGGCCTGATGGAGCCATGTGTGTGAAAGAAGAGGGCAGAGGCTGCAGCAGTCGGTGCCTAAAGCTGGGTTAGCTCCTGAATGATCAAATCCTAAATGTGCTGAAAGCCCGGGCAACAAGAGTGGCAGAGCAGAAAGGATGGGAGCAGCCCAGGCTCCCTGATGTGTACCCCACAGACAGACCCACAGGAAGTAGTGGGGCCCTGTGTCTCCTCCTGGCTGCCTCTCTTCCTCACTGAGAATATGTATATTTATTAATATTTTAATATATTTTATAGACAATTATGTATGCATGGTTTCACACTGCTTCATGTTCAGTATGTTTGTTCAGTGTTTTTGCTGCTTTAGTAATGTCTCAGCTCCTAAATAATTGCATGATTAAAAGCTTCATTCAGAGTCTCATGTCCCATCTCAGGCACACTGCTACCTCCAGAATGTAACTCAGTTCCCTCACGTTCTGCCTCCAGCAAAACAAGCTGTTGATGGAAAACAAGATTTGGTTCAGCTGCTGAAGGTGTTGGTGGGTGTGACATGATCCCACTGATCCTCCTCCAGGAGAGCTGGAAAGTGCTGCTGGCTTTCCCTTGGCGTAAGGGTGGTTGCCTCCCTAATAAGGTAACCTAAAGAGTTATTATGCTCAGTGGTGCTGACCCTCCTCTGTTTTAACTAATGTCCCAGTTATGAGAACTTCAAGTTTAATTAATTTGGTTATGCAAAGCAGGTGCCAGCCTTAATGAATAGTTTGAAACTAAGAGCAACTGGTTTAACTCCCTCAGACCACAGCCCTGATGTGGTGGTGTGGGGTTTTCCCCAGTGCACTGTGTGAGTGATTCTCATCTTCCTAACCAGATGCTCTTCCTTGTTCTTCTGTTCCATCAGATGTGTTGGATCCGGAGAGGTTAATCCAGTGCCCGTTGGTTAAACACCATTGGATCAGAGCACGCCGATTTCCTTATCACCTGGTGAAGTGTAAGGAGGTGAGCTGGACAGGCAGTGACTGAGTGACTCTGTGCATGCAAATACTCCCTGTGTTCCTGCATTTACTGACAAGTAGCCCTGTTTAACTTCTATTTCATGTAACTTCAGGATTTGTTTAGTAATAGCTCCAGGCACACAGGAGTTCACCCATTCACAGTCTGGCTCTGTTGGAAGGAGACAGAGATCCTTCATGGTTAGTTCAGGTAGGAGACTGATCTCTTCCAGCAGCTCACAGGGAGGCCATATTAATTTTTCTACTTTCAGCTGAAGGGAGGACTGTTGGAGTTCCATGCACGCCTCTGGGCCTGTCAGAGCACAGGTGCTGTGGTGTTACAGTTCATTCTTTCACTACAGGGCTGGGCAGTTCGGTTTTGCCAACAGCTGTTTCATAGGCATCTGGCAGAAACTGCACATCCTGGGCTCAGCACGTTTGGGAGAGGTTTTTTCCCTTCTCCATCTTTAATCAAGAACTTGATTACAAATAATTTCATACTACACACTCCTTCCTCTCTTCTCCTCTGTTGTCCTCATGATTGGGTTTCTTTAAACCTTCTGAACTTCGGGTTTTTTCTGAGACTTTTGAAAACATGATTGTCCCTTTTTAGGTTTGCCAGTGTGTTTTTTAAATGGTCGAGCATTGCTGTGCCGTCCACTTAAGCTGTGGTTGTAGGCAGCATGTCCTGGCGCCAGTGCAATAAATTCATTTTGGTGGAACTAGAGCCTTAAATTAATTAGCTAGTGAAACTGCGGGGCAGAGCTAAGTGGCAAGTACCAAACATTCAAAGAGGGCTGAAATGTTCTGTGTTGAGCCTCTGCACATTTTGGTAGGAGTGTGCATGTGAGCTGGGTTAACAGTGTGAGCAAGTCAACCTTTAAGCTTGTTGGCTTTGTCCTGGTGTTGCTTAACTGATGACCAGAGAGTTTTGGGAAGTTTCCTGGTTAGGAAAATGAGGTGAGACAGTGATCATCAAACAGATAAAGCCAGTGTCTAAGTAATTAGCAGAAGTGCTAATTAGCAGAAGATCTTGGGGGTTGTCACTGGTCAGTCTGAAAATGCCACAGTGTATTATTTGCAGTGCCAGGGGTTTGGGTGGAGATTGTCCTTGTTTGGGACAAGTTTGTCGAGTTTCCTTTGCATCCCTAATGCTTAAAATCCAATTAACACTTCCACCCAGCTCATCTCCCGTTGCTCTGGGCAGAACACAGCCCTTGCCCAAACTGCAAGCAGAGCAAGTTGGATGTCCTTGGCTGGAACTGTGTTACAGTCATGGAATCCCAGGATGGGTTGGGTTGGAAGGGACCTTTAAGCCCATCCAGTGCCACCCCTGCCATGGGCAGGGACACCTTCCACTGTCCCAGGCTGCTCCAAGCCCTGTCCAGTCTGGCCTTGGACACTTCCAGGGATCCAGGGGCAGCCACAGCAGTTCTGGGCTCCCTGTGCCAGGGCCTCCCCAACCTCACAGGGAACAATTCCCAATATCCCATCTAACCCTGCCCTCTGGCAGTGGGAAGCCACTCGCTTCTGCCAGGTAATGGCAGTGATGGACACATATGGACATGGCATTGCTGTACCAGGCAGGGAGTGCCACAGGCCTTGGGTGTGCTGAAGCCAGGAATCAGCAGTGATGGAGGAGGAACTGCCTGGAGCAGCACTTCTGCCTTGGGTGTGAGTCTGATCGCTGACCAGCAGAGCCAGGCCAGCACTGGTCCAGTGGCAGAGCTGGGGTTTTCTAGTAATGCTCTGTCACTTGCAGGAGATAATTTACTGTAGTGACAGCTGAGCTCTGCCACTAGAACTGGTGCCTGCCATAATGGAAATCCAGGTGGAATGGTGCCAACTCCCTGGCTCTTCTAAAAGGTTTACAGACTTTCTCTGCCTGTGTGCCCACTTAACTAAAATACATCTGAAAGGTTTAGATTTGCCCAATGTCTCTCCCCTGCTGGTTTTAAAATGGTTTTCATTTGTGCTATAAGCCATGCAGTCGTATCACCAGCACTGCAGGGAGCTGTAGGGAGTTTGCTGAGGGTCTGTTCCACTTCACTCGGGATGGCTCAGTGTCTGTGAATTATGTTTGGAAGAAAAGTCATATTCATTTCCCCTTCTGTATTTAGTGAATGTCTGATCGATACATTGAAATTTCTTCGTTATTATTGTATTTTTTAAAGCAACACCACAAATATCCCAGTCTTTTTTTCCTACGTATCAAGAGGAGGTAAGTGAATTTGAGAGATGTGGCACATAATTTTGGTTTTCTGTTTTCCAGAGCAACCCTGAAATTGCAAAGAAATTGGCCACATGCCCCTTCAATGCTCGTCACCTGGTTCCTCAGGCCAACCTCAGCGACCACATCATGAAGTGCAACGACAAAGCCTTCATGGAGCAAGATGTGGGTAAGAACCCCTGTGCTCCCAGGTGTCTGCACCCTGGGTGTTGCATTCCGTTGCAGCAGCAGGGTTTTGTCCAGGGAGGTTACAGCTACTGGTGACCGACATGGGAAGGCAACAAGATGGGTCTCTGTTTGGTTAAGCTCAAGAATCCATGTATTGTAGTGTCACTAGCACAGGATTTTCACCTAGCATAAACCAGAGACAGAGAACTCTGAACACAGGCAGGGTGGTGGGTTTTATGTTACATCCAGTGAGAAGCCCCAGGGGCACAAACCAATGGGGATACAATAGAAGGGGTTAATGCAGAATACAACGATTTGCAACACAGGAAAGGCAGAACACCTCGGCCTGACACTCCACCACGGATTTGGGGGTGGCGCAACTCTTCAGGGGCTTTAAAGCCACGCCTCGTACTTCAACACTTCCTGTCTTAAATCCAGTCCCTGCCTCTTTGGATGGGGGCAGTCCACACCTGGGGACTGAGGTCTCCTCGTGGAATAGCCCAAAAGTGGGAGGCAAATGGTTGTCCATAGTTTTGTGTGACAGCAGCTTTGGGGAAACTTGATTTCATTGGGCAGTTTCTTGAGAATATGGCAGGTGCTCTGGGTAGGCCTTGGATATGTTTTATTACCAGGCTTGTTGAATAGAAAGGTTTTACCCAAAACTATGCAGAAAGCGTCTCTGGAACGAGGAGTGGGATGCATTAATGGCCACAAGGATGGGCTGCTCCTGTTGCAGAGCTGATCTCCCTTTAACTCTTGCACACCACATGGCACACCGGTTTTTATCTTCCGTAGAGGTGCACAGGCAGTGATGCCTGCATCCATGTCAGCAGGTTTCCTCTTCACTCCAGCAGTCCTACTCAAAGTTCCAGGGAGCAGAGTCTTCTCTTTTTCATTGAAAAAGACAAATTTGAAGTTGCTGGATTTCAGCTGTCCACAACCAGTTTGCATTGGGTGGGACTTCCTCTAAAGCCCAGAGATGTTTTACAGCTTGGGCCAAAGTGTTTAATGGATTTAAGGACTGCTGGTCACTGCATTTCTCTCTCCCTGAAGTGAGCCGGTCGTGTGAGCCCCCACAGGAGCAGCTGAATAATGGGAGCACATGGCAGGCACCTCCATGTGATGAAGACTGGGAAACAGGTGAGGAACTTCCCCATCTGCTGCCTTCTTTCTGGCTATGCCCTCCAGCTCCTCTGGGGACAGTGTGAGGCCAGGAGAGCTGTTCAATCTGGGTTGCCTTGTTGCTTATGCTCATTCATATGAACATGGATCTCTCCACCCAGCAGGCTTGGCTTGGTATAGAGAACAATCCAAAATGTCTGCCAGAACAAGCATGGGTAGAGATTTCCAAGCATCCCTTCCTCCCATAAGAACTTTTTTGCCTTATGTGCAGTGATAGCACTGGAAACATGTTCCTCAGTGAAGCAGACACATTCCTCATAGCTCAGCTTTTCCTCCCTCTTGAACATGTAAAAATATGACAGAGATATTCCTGATCATAGAATCACAGAATCCCTGAATGGTTTGGCTTGGATGGTATCTTAAAGTTCATCTCATTCCATGAGCAGGGACACCTTTCACTGTCCCAGGCTGTTCCCAGCCCCTTCCAGCCTGGCTTTGGACACTGCCAGGGATCCAGGGGCAGCCACAGCTTCTCTGGGCACGTGTGCCAGGGCCTCCTCACCCTCACAGGGAACAATTCCTTCCCAGTATTCCATCTATCCCTGCCCTCTGGCAGTGGGAAGCCACTTAAGCCACTGATCTGATGGTGGTTTCTGGGGTTTCTTAGTTCTGAGACACATCTGCTTGCTTTCACAGAGTTGCTGGAGGGATCTGAGTCTACTTTTGTGTGGGGTGTGATCAACTCTACCATAAACAGGTAGGGAATGCAAGTTTGATTCTTTACACCAGTGTTTGTTTAAACAAATATTGCAGCCATCTCCCAGCCTCACTTCAATGGCCAGACAGGAGCTGCTTTTGCTGCTGTACAACCATGGGAGGAGAGATGGTGCTAGTTCAGTGTGACCTGCTTCCTCATATGGGCTGGACCAGAGAAGAAAACCCTCAGGAGCAGATACTGCTCCCTGAACAAGGGACTGATGGATGTCTGGGCAATGTGCAGGGAGAAAGGTGGTCACACCTTGAGTTCTTGGGAGATCCCTTGTGAGCTCCTGGGGCCTGGCAAATGTGCTGGAGTGGCCCTGTGTCAGCAGAATCCTCCCCTTGTGCCCTTTCCAAAGTGTGGTCAGAGTTTGGGGCAGGGTGAGCTCAGAGCTCAGTGCCCAGCTATGAACAGGAAGGGGCTGCCCTGGCTCGCTATGGGATGTGGTGGCACCACCAGAGCTGCCCAAGGTGTTTTAAGCTTTATTTAACAGGTTCATTTACAGTTCAGCAATAATCCTGCCCCTGGCAGGCTGAGTTCTGTGTGAGCTCTTTTGTAGGGGCTGACAGCAGCACTGCCTGGTTCCACCTGTCAGACTCTTTTAAAGACCTGTGAGTGTTCAGAGCACATCTCAGCACCACAGCACCATCCCCCAGGGCCTTGCTGCAGTAAAATGAATAAATGTGAACCAGTGCATTTGCCAGAAGTAACCAAAGTCACTTAATTCCAGCACCATCAGTGACCAGAACAACTCCTTGCCCTCACGGATGCGGCCCCCTGAGACCCTCCCGTACACTGTGTCTGCAGGGCTGTGAGTACTGAGCGTGGGGCTTTGGCACCCAGTCCAGAGCTGGGGACAGCTCCTGAAATCTCTGGCTGTAGCAGCACTTCGTGGCTCCCACTGCATGGACAGGAGGGGTTATATTGAACAGCTGTTTCTTGAGAGCAGCTTCTGAGGGAATCTGCTGTTCAGATCATTCTCTGTGTCCTTCCTTTGAAGCATCCTCTCTGTTCTTTCATTGCTCCATTCCTGTGGCCCAGGTTAGGCAGAGCTGCTTCCTGGCCACGTTGACTCTGTCTCTCTAAACAGGCCCTTCCACAGCATTCCCGTTATCCCCTTTCACCCACATCCTGACAAATCCTGACAAATTTGCCCCTGACAAAGCAAATTGTTTCTTTGCTTTGTGCTGTGCTCACTGTCGGGCCCAGCTAAGTCAGAGCTGGAGGTGAAACAGGGGCTCCTTAAACAAGCACCACTGGGGGAAAAAGCTGTCAAAGTCATCTGGGGAGGGAGAGGAGCAGCTCCCCATGGGGAAGTGTCTAATGCTGAAATAAAAGACTTATTTGCCTTTAGCAACAATGCAACAGCTTGAAGATGGTTTGAGGAATGATTGTCCTGATTCCCACTGGGAGCAACTGAACCTGGTGCCCTCAGGGCACTGCAGACACAGCTCCTGCAAGCCAGGGACTGTTCAATTGCCACAGTGTTGGGCTGAGCCTGGCAAATCAAACTGAAATGTCAGTTGTAGACAAGCCTTGTTGCCAAGGGGACAAGTTCTGCCTCTGCAGAAGCCACTGTCCCTTCAGGGAATGGGGGAAGTGCTTGTATCTTTGTCCATCTCATGCAAAAATTGTCCTTTCCAGAATTCGGAGTATTAGCTCCTCCCCCTGGAACTTGGTTTTGCCCCAGCAGTAAGTGTCTCCCTGACTTGGACAGGAGAGGTCCTGAAGATGACAGCCATGATCTGGACCTGATGGCAGGACTCTCTACACTTGGCTTTTGTTTTATAATGCATTTCTTGGAACGTTTGAATATGTGGAACTGTCCTTGGTTGCCAGATGTTTCCCCCAAGCATTTGTTTTAAAAATTACCCTCACCTTTACTTGGTGAATTTTGTTACTGTTCTGGAAAAATTAGATTTACACAGACTCAAAAACCTTCCATGCCCAGCCATGGGTCACGGTAACTCTCTGTGAACAGCAAAAACATCAGAATTGCTCCAGAGATTGGGAAACAGTAGGAGACCTTCAGAAGGATTTTAAGGAGTAGGGGCTGAGGAAGTGATTTTAAGCTGGGGATGTAGGATCTGATTAGGTTCCTAATTAGTGAAGTGATAGTGGGAAACAGAACAGTTTGTGGGGCTGAAAATACCCCCCAGAATCTTGTCTCTTCCCTTGAAACTTTAAAACGTGTGTGTACATGGAGGAGCCCCTTGGGAGTTGGTTGCTCATGGTCAGCACTAACTGCAAACAGAGGGATGCAGGAACAGGGAGGGGGAATGTCCTGCAGGAATGGCAGATTTGGGAGAATTCAGGCCTGGCATAGCAGAAACTGTTACAGTTTCAGTGCAATTCAGGAACCATCCAACAGTAACTGCCAGGAATTTCTACCCTGTGCCTTAAGCATCTTGCTGTTCTCAGGAAGCCTAGAGGGATTATGTCGAACTTCTGCTGGATGTTTGGGAGAAGTTTTGGCTGTTTGCTGGGCAGCTGCAGCAAACTTCCTGGAACTGAGACTCCAGGAGTTGTGTTTGAGGGCCTATTACAGCCTGGAGAGCACAAAGTGCTGAGAGTTTGTTTCTCCAGTCTGTGAGGAGGCTGAGATTAAAAACATCCAGAGCAGCCAACTTAGAAGTATTTTTTCTGTGCATACACTTGTTGTTTTTGTCTTGTTGGAGTCTGAGTTTGTCCTCAGGGTATGGCAGGTGTTCAGGTTGGGTTTTAAACAGTGTTCTCATTTGCAAAGACTGCTTTGAGAGCATTCTGACCTCTTTTGCAACCTCACACCTTCAGTCTTGCCTTTGTCACCTTAGGCCTTACCTTTGTCTCCTGTGTGTGAGGGGCTTCCCCAGGCATACCTTAACAGAGAATCCTCTGCAAGTTCGATGCATCACACACAACTCCAAACAGGGGAAGTTTCAGGAGGACACTGAGGTGCTTTTCCAGTTTCCATTAGAGTAAGTTTTCTAAAGCTTAAAACATGTTTGAGAGCTCTCAGGTACCTGTTCTGTGTTGGGGGTGGGGGGGAAGTAGGAATGGTTTAAATCAGTAAAATTGCATGTTTAGGACTGAAGATGTTCAGAGCAAGCAGTATATTTCTAAACATGCAAAGTTCAAAATGGGATCTAAATATACAACCATAAAGAATTAAGAAGCCAGACATGGTGTTTGTCTAGAAAGAGATTAATGCCTTCATCTTTTCTTCTAAAGACTGTATTTCCACCATCTGAATACTACCACTAGAAAATAATATAAGTTAACTGGAATGTGCAAAATTAAGATTCTTTTAAAATTCTGTTAATTTATGTCAAGGTTCTTGTTGGCAATTTAGAATAAAAATGTTTGAAATGCCCTGCAGCTGCTTTTCTTTGGAGTCAGTAAGTGCTGACATGGGAAGCTCTCCTTTCCACCTTCATTTATTTTTTGTCACTTGGAATGAAAGTGGTGACAAACACCAGCTGGATTGTTTCAGTAGTAGCTCATTTGTAGGATTTGTGGGCCAGAGCACTACAATTTTACAGGTACATGCCATAATTAGCCTGAGCTCCTTTAATTGGCAGTGGGTGAAAGCTGCTCCTCACTGGGGCTCACACATGTCTGTGCTGTGCAGGAGGAGAACTCCTCCATGTTATTAACACTGAACATTGTTCCCCCAGCCTGGGGTGAATCCAGTAGCCTGGCCTTTCTGGAAAGACCAGGCTTGGAAGGTCATGGTTGTGACTTCAAACACCCTCAGGGTCACAAGAACTGGGGTGTAGTGTCCATGAGGAGGGGCTCTGTCTTGTAGGGTGGGTGCAGCCCACCTGTGACTGACATCTGAGATCTCACAGCCCACAGACCTGAAATCCCATATCCTGGGCAATGTCCTTGAGCACGTCCTGCACCTGCCACCTCCTATGAATGGCAGGGAGGCCTTGGCTCTGCTGCTCCTGCAGTGCTTTGGGAATGCTGGGTGAGCCTCCCCCAGCACTGGGAATGTTTCCAATCCCAGTAGTGGCTATCACTGGGCTCTTGGCTTCCTCTGCTTGTTTTGTATTGGTGACAGGACATAGAATATTTTTTCAGGTGTGTCACATGGCCCCTCTATTCTGGTGACAGAGTAAGGACTTTGCTGTGCCATGTTTTGAATCCTCAGTCTCTTGTGCTGGGTGGATTGTGCAGTGCCAGAGCCAAGTCAAAATCACAGACTGGTTAGAATGGACCTTACCACCCATCCAGTGACACCCCCTGCCATGGGCAGGGACATCTCCCACTATCCCAGGTGGCTCCAAGCCCTGACCAGCCTGGCCTTGGGCACTTCCAGGGATCCAGGGGCAGCCCCAGGTACTCTGGACAACCTGTGCCAGGGCCTCAACAACCTCACAGGAAAGAATTCTTTCCCTAACATCTAATCTAAATCTCCCCTCTTTTAGTTAAAAACTGTTCACCTTGGCTTAATACTGCCCATGTAAGAAGTCCCTCTGCCACTTTCTTTATAAGCCTTTAGGCACTGGAAGGGGCTCTGACATCTCCTGGGAGCCTTCTCCAGGCTGGACATCCCCAGCTCACTGGCCCTTGCCACTATTTCTCCCCTGTGTTCCATCAGGAGGGTGCACTCTCCTTGGCCTTTCTGTTCTGACCCATATCCCTTGCCAAGTCCTGTTCCATCTGTGCCTTGGCTTTCCTGACCCCATTCCTACACACCCAATGCAGACATCCCATAATGGTCCAAGGCAGCAGCTCCCTTTTGCTGTGTCCAGCACAGCCAAGGGCTCTGACACTATTCCTGCCCTGTGTTTTGCAACTCCAGGATAATTTCCAGTCCTGCTCGGATTTAATTTCTACTGCCCCTTTCCAGAACATTGATATGATCTCATCCCTTATTCCCCTGTCCCCCATTCCTTTCTCTTGGCCCCTTCCCCTCCCTAAGCCAAGGCACAAAGAAATCCAAGAGTGGTGGAACAGGGACCCAACGATGCCTGGGGGGGGGAAGAGGGAAACTCCATGCCAGGAATCCTTGGGACTGGTGCAGGGAGCACTCCTGGGGCTGGGTAGGGAAGGGCTCCATCACTCACAGGCCTTGGGGAGAAAAAGTGAGGCAGGAGCAGGGAGCTGACAGAGCTTTTCCCTTTACACGGGGCTGGGGAACTACACCAGCCTCTTACAGCCCGGGAAGACATTTTCCTCCTCCAGCTGAGACTTCCAGCAACGGGCAGTGTTACCAGGGGCTGTGTGTTGCACTAAAGGAGGGTGATTTTTAACACATCTTGTGTTCCAACATTCCAGGGTTAACCTGAGGAAGAGTGAACAGGGGGAGGCAGGCACAGAGCAGGCTTTGGGCCAAGCACAAACATCCTCTGGTACTTATCTACACTATCTTCCTTCTAAATTAATTCTGTCCCACCCAATCACCATCGCTTATCACTCATTATCTCCCCCTCTATTCTGCACATACCTTACCCCCATTTCATTTGTTTGAAGTGCTCAAATACTGACTGGTTTAGTCTCTTTGTTTAAAAACATTTCTCTCTCAACCGTCCCTCAACTAAACATCACAGCTCACTGCCCCGCACGCAGGGAGATGAACCAGGACGGGGGAGAAGTAAAACTGGAGGGTTGAGACAAGAACAGTCTAATAAATGAAACAAAGTTAGATATAATTAATAATAATTTAAAAAATAATGAGAGAGGGGAGATATAAAACCCAAGACAGACAAGTGCTGGCCAGTACAACACCCTCTGACCCCTCCCAGTCCATTATTCACAGTTTATGTACTCAGAATGACTCTTTGTGGCGTGGAATATCCCTTTGGCCAGTTTGGGTTACCTCTCCTGGCCCTGCTCCATCCCAGCTTCTTGAGCCTCTGCTCACTGGCAGAGCCTGGGAAACTGAGAAGTCCTTGATTTAGAGTAAACACAAACCATTGGTGTGTTATCAACATTATTCCCATACTGAATCCCAAACACAACCCTGGGAATGGCTGCTGGGGAGAAAATTAACTCAATCCCAGGTGAAACCAGGACATAAAACCTTTCCTGGATTTCTTCCACATGCTCAGTCACACTCAACCACACTCTTGAAGCATCAGTCCCATTTCCAGCCGCTGCTCACAGAATCAAAGCCCCTCAGGGGTCCACCCTGAGCAGAACCCAGTGCAGCCCCATCCCAGCACTGCCACGGGCTGGTCCCAACCTCTGCATCGTACGTACAGCACTGACAACTTTCTGCATTCTTTGCTGGGTATTTTCTGATTTAACAAGTGTGTTGTAGCTGTGGGGCCTGGAATTACTTCAAAACAGAACTGAAGAGCAAGAGAAAGATAATCCAACCCCTTGATCTCACATTTTAAATCCAGTGTCTTTATCAACAGCCACATTTTGCCTTTACTTCTCTTAATTAGGAGCCCCTCACCTGCATCACTGGAGGCAGAGAGGGAGAGGAAGGTCTGGCCCCTCTCAGGACCTAAGGGGGAGTGGGCAGAGCACAGCAGGGGCCAGGATGTGCCCCCAGCTGCGCCCCACTCCTGTTACATCACCCACCCATTTCCAGCTCCCTTTCACCACCAGCTCTGGGGCTGTCCCAGCCTGGCACATCCCACCAGTCTGACCAGAGGGGTCCAGCATAGGCTCCCGCTCCTTCCAACCCCAGTGTGGTGGGACCCATTTCCTACTGTGACCCAAATGGGAGCCCCCCACAGCATCCCTGTGGCCCCCTCCCCTGCAGACCCCATCTCCATCCACAGTGAACCAGGATCAATGCTTGTTTATTTTAGCCTTAGCCAACATGCTGGCTAAGGTAAAAAAAAACCATTCATTTTGGTTGAAAAAAATTTATTCACAGAACATCACATGAATCACATCCCACCCTTGCTCCTTTATGTATAAAATACTGGTAAAAAGTTTTATTCCAGAGGCAAGTGAATTCCCACGGAGTCCCCTCCTGAGAGCAGCTCACCCCCAGAACTGGAACTTGTGCCACAGTTTGGAAGCAGAAGTGAGGTGTTTGGTGAGGAAGGAAACACCACCAAGCTACAGCAGCAAAGCCTCCAGGGCTCCAGCTCATTTCCTTTGGCAGGGACCACAATCCCACCAGGGCTCCAGCTCATTTCCCACTGCATCCAAAGGGGAGATGTGAGGCTTGAAGGAACCACCCTACCACGTCCCACTGCAGTGGAGGCTTTCAGGTTTCACACAAACCACCTGAGATGCTCCTGGAAATCTCTTTGGACTTTACAGGCACTACAAATGTGTCTGATGTCACATGTCCCCAAATCCAGTTCCCCAGGTGGTTCCTTCAAGCCCCACGTGTCACCTTTGGATGCCAAGGGTAGCAAGGACACTTGGCTCTCCAAGGGGAAATCAGCCTGTGCAAGGACAAGGAGACTCCAGAGGCAAAATAAATCAACAGGAAAACTTCTATTAAAATGCCAAGCTAGGCTCAGAAACAGAACAAAAAAATCCAGTTCCAAGTATCTTATGGCTCCTACCACAGCCCAAAAGGAGAGAGATTAGCCAGAGTCCCACCTTGGTGTAAGACAAACCCTGCTACACCAAGTCACAGCTACAGAAACTTTTAACAATTACAGCCTTAAACCCTAAACCCTAACACTGTAAAATCCAGTGGAACTGGATCAGTTAATTTGAACTGAGATTTGCCATGGACCCCTTCCAAGTGCTCAGCTGCCCTCTCAAGGGCTGAATCCAT